AACAAGAAGTCGAAAATATCACTTTTTACCAAAAATTACAAAAATATTCACCAAAATTAGAGAATTGAAGATACCATCACAAAATGAACAAATCTGAGAGAGGTCCACATGTAGTACCTATATATGTAATATCAAAGCAATCAGACTATTGGTTTTTTACAAGAAGTCGAAAATATCACTTTTTACCAAAAATGACAAAAATATTCACCAAATTTATAGAATCGAAGATATCATCACGAAACGAACAAATCTGAGAAAGGTCTACATGTAGTATCTAAATATGTAATATCAAAGCAATTGAACTATTGGTTTTTAACAAGAAGTCGAAAATATCACTTTTTACCAAAAATGATAAAAATATTCACCAAAATTAGAGAATTAAAGATATCATTACAAAATGAACAAACCTGAGAGAGGTCCACATGTAGTACCTATATATGTAATGTCAAAGCAATTGCAATTGCGGTTTTTAACAAGAAGTCGAAAATATCACTTTTTACCAAAAATGACAAAAATATTCACCAAAATTAGAGAATTGAAGATATCAACATGAAATGAACAAACCTAAGAGAGGTCTACCCAAGGTACATATACACTAAGTATCAAAGCATTCAGGCTTGTAGTTTTCAAGAAGAAGTCAAAAAAGTAAAACATTGACACGGACGACGACAACGACGGACAATCACTCATATGATAAGCTCCGCTCGACAAAGTCGACAGCGGAGCTAAAAAGGCATTAATAACAAAAGTAATAAAAAATAAAATTAAAATAAGTTAATAGCCAAAATAATTAAAGACCGTACACTACATCAGATTTTAATCAGATTGGACTTCATCCCTGCTCGATGCGGAGAAAAAGCAAGTGAATATCCAGCCATAATGGCATCGCCATATGGGCTCAGTCACGTGGTTCGTGACATAAAGGAAAAGAATCGTGGGCTCATGGGGCTTCCCCTGACCTAGATTCTATCTATCCATCATTGGCAGAATCGCTGATTAATGCCTACAGTTCAAAATAGTCATTTTGACTGACCGGAGTTTATGGTGGGTAATTGAACATAGTGAATTGGATGGATTCACATGGCCATCTTCATAGTGCATGTACTCTGCAGTATTATCCAATAACCTTATTAATAACCTTAATACTTTAAGGTGAGATATCAGCCTGAATGCATATACATTTTGGATTGAATACAAATATTACTTTTTACAGTAATTACAATGCTACATGTATAATAATAAATATTTATACATCTATCACTGTAATGCCATGGGTTACAGCGTGCTGTAATTTTGCGGTATTGCACTGGGTATTTTCATCCTACCATATTAGGAAATGCGAATTCCAAATATGGAATGATTACGTGCGCCGCACTCCACACAAAGAAGTTCGCTGATTCTGTTCTAAAATTTTTGGATTTAGCATTCCCATGATATATCACTGGGAGGAAAAGATGTATAATAATAAGGTTATTACGAGAATATCACAAAATATGACAGTACGCCATCGCATCGACCTCCGCTGCGTGCCAGTTGATACTCCACTGTACTGTCTTCATGCATACTTTAAAGTATCCTTGTAATAACCTCATAATATACTTACCTCATCAAATAATTGTAACATAATAGTTAAAACATCAGGATGTGCTTTATCAACCTCATCAAATAATACCACAGCATTTGGACACTGCTTTAATTGCTTTGTTAACTGTCCACCCTGTTCATGTCCAACATAACCTGGTGGTGATCCTATAAACTTGGCCACCTCATGTCTTTCTTGATATTCAGACATATCTAATCTGATGAAACCTTTCTTGTGATCTCGATGTAAATATTTTGCAACTTGTTTGGCAAGTTCAGTTTTACCTGTGAATATTAATTTGACACAACCATCAGATGTATTATATATATATAATCAACATAATACACAACAATGATCAAATTAACAGATATAGTGTTAGGTTAGGTACAATATACTAGTAGATAAAGTTAGATTAGGCAAGGTTGAAGGGTTTGAACT